ATTGTTGTTTAAGCTAGTAATTCATAAAAAATTTTCTTTTTAAATCTAAGATTTGAAAATTTTTAATAATCTATAATATACCCAAGACAGATAAACCATCTCCGTTCAGAATCGTTTTTCGTATWCAATGATACYTATCMTTGCATTCAAATTTAACCTACCCTAGTCAGAGGTCCACCCCACCCCCTAATGTACAGCAGAGCGATACCCAATTACTCGCTTTTTTTATTTTCAGTGATTGTGAAATAAAAATAAAAATTTTACAGGTATTATACATGTAGCAAAAGTGTCAATAAATTAAATATATAAAAAATATTGATTAAAATAAATGTTATTCATTTTTCATGTCTTTTTGTTACATCCTCTATATTGATTATTTCTAAAATAAATCGCTGGGTTTTGCCCGCACCTTGTACTATAAAAAAGGTCATGATGAGAAGGATCCATATTTATCCAGTGATCAGTATCAAGTTCTAATTAATTTATTGGAAACAATAAATAATATTTCCAATAAAAACATTAATATTTAATTATAATATTGTTTTTATTGTGTTGATCGTTCACACCACTACCAACCGACGCTTGTCGATTGCCAATAGTAGTCGGATTCGAACTGTCATGGGCGCAACTCCTTTCGCTCAAAAATGACCTTCCTCTTTTCGACCAAATACCATAAGATAGTTTCCTTTTTTCGCCTGAAAATAATTGCATTGTTTTTGCTCACCTTTTATGTTCAAAATTTTGGAAAGCACTGTCACACAGCTTTGGCAGGTAAACTCGTCAGAATTAATCAGGACAACTGATGCATGTGAGTCCTTTCATGCATTCTTTAACAAAAGTTTTTATTGTATTTATCCACCATTTGGTACGTGGTTGGCTATTATACAAGAAGTCCAAACTGATGTCTATATTAAATTAAATAGTATCTATTTACAACATTTTCTTAAAAATAGGAATGTTAAAGAACGATGGCTAAAAAACGAAAACAAAATACAACAGAACCTTAGAGGAGAGATAAGTCGGTATATGAATTTCTTAAATCTATATTATCATTCAACTATACAAAACATTTCAATTTCAATTAAATATTTTTTATAAAAMATTTTTTTAACGACGTAATAAAAATTATTGAAAAATACATTTTATATTACATAATAATAATTTAATCCACAAACACAAAATATATTTTTGGAGAATAGGAGAAGAAGAAAAAGTAGATGCCGCCTCCTTGTGGTGCTCTCTCGAGTTATGCCAAATGACTAAACTAAATTAATTATAATAATTAAATTTTGAGACAGTGCTTTCCAATATGAAAATTGGGCAAAAAAAAATGCAATTATTTTTAGGCGAAAAGGGGAAACTATTTGATCATATTTGATCGAAAAGATGACGTGTTCGAAAAGAGGAAGGTCGTTTTTGGGCGAAAGGAGTACAGCCTCTGTCGTAGTATCGGTGATTTTTGATAATATGATATATGAATAAGGGTAGGTATTTATGATTAGTTTTGTACATAATACTTATTTATATTTATATTGAACCTTTTTAAATCTATTTTTATACCCATTGAAAAAATTTAGAAACGTTAAATTTGGTCACATATCGTATTTATGTACGTAGGTTTAATTCATAAAAATGAATAGTGACGATAGTGTTATATTATTATGTCTATTTGATAGTAATTCTGTATTAAGACTGCATCCCTCTCCCTCGTAACTTAAAGGTCTAGTTACTCCATAATATGTGTTTTTATCAACTAAAGCAACGTATAAATAGAATGTATCTTATTACAAACTGTATATTGTCCGGCTGCAATACGATTGCGCGCGGTCCTTACCAACGGTACCTTTTTAGGTTTACGATTGCGCGTGCTAAATTATTTTTGCTTCTAAGCAAAGTTGCCAAATATACAGATTATAGATGCATGGTAAATATCCGAACTTTTTAGGTAGACTAAGTGTGAATATAAAGTATCTGTTATTTTTTGTAACTATTTGTACTATTTGTAACTTTTTGTACTATTTTTGACTGATTCATTGACACGTGATGCCACGTTTATAATGTTATTAGAAATAAATACAATAACAACATATACAACAAATAACAAATTTTTTTATAATTTTTTTAATAATAATTATTATTTTAAATTTTAATAATAAATTGGCAACGTCGCATCCAATTTCACGCGCAATCGTAACGAGCCTACAAATGCCATAGATCCGGTGGCAAGTATTACTGTTGCGGATCCACCACTGTAAATGTTGTTTTTATCATGATTTAGCCATGGTTTTTACGTCTACGTCTGTGATAAGATAGCATTCAAATAATTACCGCCTGAATTTAAATATTATAATAATCATAATAAAATTGAGTATTGTTATTTGTATAACTTAAATCATTATATTCATCTAAATATATTTTTTTTAAATGATTAATACAAGAATCATAGTAGGTATTCTAATATAAGTCCTACAATAATAATAATAATTTATTGAACTTTATCTATGTACATTGGACACATTGTACCTACATGTTTAGGAATTTCTGTATCGTWTATAATAACTTTATCTTTAATATCAATGATCTTTAATACATATTTACAATCGACCGTCACTTCGAATATGGTCTTGCTATTATTGTTATTACAACCTTGTATTATGTGGACGTTAATACTACAGGTGCCCATTTATTTTGTTACTACCTAGTGCATAATTGTATAATTAGTGTATTGTGTATAGTTCGAGTATAATTATAATATTAACTTCTCCCTCCTTAACCAAGAAGACGACAGAAAATGTAGACAAACAACAACAACTAAAAGCACACGCCACGCAGATATAGTATACAGACAAAGATGACATGTAAAGACGACGAACCAACACTTAAAGATGATGATAAACCAATGGAGACAATACGCAAAGACAAGGAAAATCAAATACACAATGATGATGGTAACAAGTATTAGTTAAATTAAAAAATGGTGATTTAATTACATTTTCCGATTCTTTTTTTAGATATACACAACTTAAGATACGAAATATWWAAATAAATTGAGCAATCATTAAAAAAAATAAATTCAAAAGAACAATTACAAGAAATAAATAAAAAATTGGTTGCACCCATCCATTTTTCGATCACTGCTTCACAAATTGAAACTGTACTATTGAAGCAAAAAAAATAAATTGGACAGGGGTAAAATGAAACCTCAAAAGAGAATTTTCGACGTAGGTCATCTACATTAAATTTTCATTTCAATTTCCAATACATTTATTAGATATATATATATTTTTTTTTATTACAGGTGCCAAAAAACAAGGCAAATAAAGAACACTAGATTTTCCAATATTTTTAGAATTTATTTTTTAATTATTATGTATGGCATAATTTTTTTTTTGTAATAATCAATTATATTATTGACTTATACACTTAATAATTTAGATTTAAGTTATAAAAATTAAAATACTCAATTTTTTATATTATACCTAATTGTTTTATTATTTTATTATGATTATTATGATTATAATATTTAAACTTAGGCAGTAATTATTTTAATGTTATCTTATTGCAAACGTAGACATAAAAACAACATTTACAGTGGTGGCTCCGCAACAGCAATACTTTCCACCGGATCTATGGCATTGGTAGACTCGTGCAATCGTACGCTTTTGAATAGTCAAAAGCATGTTCTTTGTTATTACGGCACCGCGCGCAATCGTATGCCAAAAAAGGTAAAACGCGCGCAATCGTACTCCACCGTATTGCCCATATAAGCACTTAACAATTTTCCTAAATACTCCCTTGTGTGCCGCTAATGAAATTGGAATAGTGGGCTGGTCACTTCTCAGTACGCCCCTGGATGTCAACCATTTTAAAGAGTTTAATATAAGCAGGCAATTTCATATGACGGCCATGCATGCAGGGCTGGGCAATCTTCGATAYAAGTATCGTAGATACGTATCTTAGATACAATTGTATCTTGTATCTCGATCCAATTATGTGAAKTATCGAGTACCTTGTATCGCGATACATTTTTAGTCAATGTATCTAGTATTTCATAAAATATTTTATGATGCGATACAAGATACAATACAATTTTAGTTTTATTATCAAATTAATAATTAATAAGAAATAATAATAATAATTATAATTAATGATCCAGAAATTCATATTTTTATTTAATATTGTAGGTTTTTAGAAATAATTTTTCAACCCAGTACCGATAAATCATAAAATATAGTTATATGTGTGATGTATATTGTATGCATCTGTGACACACGCACATTGAATAGGACTTTACGTCTGTACCTTATTAGGTATCATAATTTTGTATAATGGTGTACTTAATAGTYACTACGTTATAGTGTACCTTTCACGATAAAGTAGGTAATGAACACGATTGATTTGTTTTATTTTGTTTTATTACTAATGTAGTAATGTATTATTATTACTGAATAAGTGTCAGTTTTTATTATTTTATTTGTCATTCTAATTACTTAATGAAGTGCTCATCCCCATAATTTTTAAAAATCCAGTGACTAATTTTATTAAAATGTATCGAGTATCTGTATCGCGATATTCCAAACCCAAGTAGGTATCGAGTATCTAATGTCGCGATACTCCAAAGCCAAGTATCTAATATCGCGATACTCCAAAGCCAAGTATCTATAGTATCTTGTATCGCGATACTCCAAAGCAAAGTATCTTGTATCTAGTATCTCAATTCTCCTTTTTGAGTGTCTCGCCCAACCCTGCATGCATGCGGGTCGAGCAAATGTGTGCGCACGTTAGTATCAGTGAATGTAGTAAAACATAGAAGAAAATAGAAATAATGTCAAAAGTCGATACCACCATACTAAATCATTTTATTTTTTAAAAAGTCAAAAGTAAATCTTTTGACTATCATAATATATATTCATATATCAACCTATTTATCTAATAACATTTCTGAAACATTATTTGAATTCGTTGTGAATTTAACTTGAAAACCACTTTCTTACACCTTTTAACATACCTATGTTTCTATTACATAATATTAAAGTTTTAAAATTCCTAATACTCATWACTTAAAAATCTTATTTAGAAYAGTTAARGGTTTTATTTCAAAAAGTTGATTTCAGGTAAATTTTAAGACAAATGAAAATATGTTTTCATAAACTTTATCCAATGATTAGAATGGAGGTAAAATTGGCAAAAAATAGGTCTATTTCGTGATAAAATACAGACGGAATGAAATCCATTACACAATTTTAAAGTAATGAACTATAATGATTAATAATTGTATAATAAAAAGAATTGAATTAAAAACATTCGGAAACAATTTGTCTATATACAAAATAGTAGTTAATATCTATAATTATATATAGGTACTACCTTTTACCTATATTAAGTAAGTTATAGTTTTTTATTTATATGGAATACCTCCAAAAAGTTTTAATTTAATTCAACCAGTGTTGTAACTAAAGAGGTATGAGGGGATAGATCCTCCAAACTTATTTTACTGCTAACACACACACACACATAGGCGCGCGCGCGTTTATTTTACTCTATTATTGGTATCAATGTATCATACATTAAAAATAAATAAAGGGGCAAACTAATATTATGATAACATATTCGATGTTTTTTCTTGGTTCATATATTATCTATATTGTAATATGTTACAGTTTACCTCGAATGTTGTTAAATGATCAATCATCTTGAAAAAATAATATTTTGTTTTGGATTGCCTTTGTTCGAGGCACGTCATGTGAACGCCACAGTTGCATGGCGATTCTATGATTTTTTTCTTAATGTTTTCCCCTAAACAACGTAAATATCACAATGAGAAATGAGTTTATAAAATAAATAACTATATAGTGTATAATTATCAACAGCGTAACTAATTTAGTATCGTAAAATACTTAAGAATATACGTGTGAAGTGAACTAAATATATGTATTGTTTTTATAAAATAGGTTATACCTATAGATGTTACTTAAACGCATTCGTTATAAATTATAATAATATCGAATGAAGTCGTTTTAGTACAATTATTGTGGCATTATATATAGAATGATTCCCAAGCATGCTTGTTCTTTTTTTTCGATAATGTAGTTATTCCATATTATCTAGTTTTTGATATCTTAAAAGAGACACTACTTTAAAATTGTTGATGTTTTTTCGCACTACTTGATAATACCAACTTACATTTTTCAATTAAGAACATACTTTTCTACTACAAATTATATAGCGGGTAATTTTTTTTAAAATATTGAATTACCTATCAAATCAAAATTCGAACAAGCAGTTTTTGAGTTATTTAAATTTGTGTACTAATAGCACCATAGTATCATATGATGATAACGGGTTTGTAAATTATAAAGTCATGAAGGTAATATAATTATACTCAGTGGTTGACTTGGGGGGACGCGGGGGGACTGAGTACCCCAACTAATTTTTTGGATACGCTAGCGTACCCCTACTTCTTTTTTAAAAGGGAACGCGTAGGGCGGATTTTTATGTAAACTTTTAACCCCCCATCGCCATGATTATGTAAGTTTTATTAAAATGCTAGGGACGCTACATTTTAAAAGTAGCTAGAGTATCTCTACTACTTTATTTCCAAGTCAACCACTGATTATAGTAATTATATAGTAATTATTTGATAATYTTAGAAATTTATGTTGCTCTATCAACATTTGTGATGTGTAAAAATAATAAATGATGTATTATTATTATTACTTTTTTTTAAAAATATTTTTAAGGAATATTATCCTTAATATAAATATTTTATTAACTTAGAACTAATCATTTGAATTTTGTAATTTGAATTAGGAACATCCAAGCCTTGACAAGTTAACGATAATTTTTAACTGGGTTAAGTTGATGGAAAACATTTAAAAAAGTTTAAAAATAACAGTTAACCTAAATTTTTTTAAACTCAATTCAGTTAAAAGTTATATGAACATTTTCAATTAACTTGTTAACTCAAGTTAACCTTATTATTTTTTTTTAAACATCTATATTGTAACATGGTTTTAAATAATAAAAATCATAAATATTATTGAACATAGAAAATAGGAATAGCCAATAGCTTTTTTATATATAAATKTATAGAATTAAATTATTAGGTACTGATAAATATAATTGTATAGCAGGGACCAAAAACATACAAAATGCAGGTATATGAGCATAACCCAATTAGTTTTAATTTAAAAATAACTTATTTAGTCGAAACCATTTTATAATAATATGTTCTTGAAAATTTTACATTTGTGATTTGTACYTATCTACATCAATATAATAATTTAATATTATATTACGTACCTACTTATTAGTAGGGCAGAGGACTTGAAGCTCTAAAAAAGCTCTAAATATGCAAGCATTTATGCACTTAAAAACCCCATAATAGGTATGTACTTGAAATATGCACTTAAATTTTTTTAACACGAATGTACATTCCGCAGAACTGACTGAGACTAAATACTAAAATATTGATTATTGTCATGTCTGGAAACGTTTTATAATTTAATCCTAATCTAATAAAAGCCCGCGTGGAGCGCACAAAGCTGTGGTGGTGATGCCATAGGTATAGTGTACGACGTTAGATCGCTATCGCTTCTACGAAAAATAGGTGCCCGTGGATAGTCAAAAACATATTATACGACAAAAATTGAAAATAAATAAATTTTTATCCAAAAATTTTGAATGTATTGTTTGGAATAAAAATGTCTCAGTGGAAAAAATCAATTTAAGTTAAATATGTCACAAAAGTATAAAATAGTATATAAAAGTGTAAAATATGCCTTTAAAACCAAAAAAACGCAAAATATGCATTTATATACACAATAAAATTTTAAAACTATAGCTTTTTGAAAGCATGAAATGTATTTGTATCGTACTCTGCTATTTTTGTGACTGTAAAACAAATATGCAAATGCTTCAAGTCCTCTGCCATACTTATTAGTATTATTATTGTTATTATAATGATATATATATCTGTATTCTGTATGCCGCAGTATGATATGGTATATCTTTATATATATAATATATTTACCTATATTTTATAATATTAAATATAATATATACCTATATATGGGCATATGGCTATTGCTACACCTAAATGTATTTACCTAATTAATTTTTCTTGAAGAATTCTGTTTAATGGAACAAGAAATAAATTTCACTATAATTTATTCTTGTTTTTTATTCTAGGAAATGGTTATGTAATATGCATTATCAATAATAATTGTATTTTATTTATAAGTTAACTAACTTGAATTTGATTAAAAGCATTTTTTTTTTTTTAGCAAATTCATTATTTATTAAGTTTACATTAATGATAATAAGTTGAATTAAAAATTAAATTAATGAAAATTTATTTAAAATAATTAAGTTAAAAAGTTAGAATTAACTTAACTTAACATTTTTAATTATAATGCTAAGGCTTGGGAACATCTTGCAATTTGAATAAAACATGTGTAGAAGCCTATAATAATTGTACATACCATTTTGATAAAAAAAAACTTTTTGCGTTCCTAATTTAAAAGTACTAAGTATTATCATACTCATTCGAAATACAAAATTATTAAAATACAAATAATAATAATAACGATATTCACCTAATGTCCTGCACGAGGCAAAAAATAAAAATAAAACTGCAAAACAGCATTATAATGGTGAAATAATATAATATAAATATATAATTATTAAAATCTAAATGTCACAGATTTTTGCAGGTCAGTATACTGAACTGTTAGGACTATAATATGTATGTGCAGTAGAAAAATGCAATTAATCAAAATGATAACATTCGGTTATATTTGCTGATAAATTATGAATAATAATAATATATACTATATATTAATTGCAAGCCTCGGATTAACGTGTACTAAAAAAAATGTTGTTTAAATATATATATATATCTGTGTGTGTGTGTGTGTGTGTGTATGCATAAAAAATTGACTAATATGTATGCGGTACAAACAGTGCAGTTATAAAAAAAAAAATATGATTAAAGTAGTTTTTATTAGTTAAATTAAAGTAGAATCATACTTTTACGTACCTAAAATATTTTGTGCTTATTGGCATAGAGTACGATTGATTACAATTTGTTAACAAATACATACAAATCTTAGCTCTAACTATAAACGACTACCTATCACTAATATAGATAACGCTATTTTTCACCAGGATTTTGTAATTGAGGACGTTTAATGTGTTTGTAAATACATTGCATTTGTGTTTTATAATCCTTAGTCGTTAGTCGTCACTTTTTAATGTCTTATACAGTAATATTTTAATGTTAGGGATCATATATCGTATATGATAATGTGTAAATGTGTAATAAATAATAATATAATTATTAATAACTAAGAAATGCAATAAATTAATTTTATATCGCATAATTAAAAAATTAAAAAAATCGAAATACCTACCTGTAATAAGTCTCCCCCGCTCTTACACAAAATCTAGTTTGTACACTTTTTCAATAATAGCATTAAGGACGAACTAACTGTTTAAAGAATGTCGGATAAATTGCAATATACCTATCTATCAATTGTCATCCGATATGTTTCAAACAATTAATTGGTATAAAATGATAAATATATTCATATATACGAGTATTTATTTTTATCGGTTATTAAATTTAAATTAATTGTTCTAATGTAATAAGTAGTAAGTACTTCCATTTATTTGATTTCGTTGAAGATGCAATTTATAATAACATGTATAATATTATGATTTATGGTATAAAAATTAATGTCAGCATATGCAATTTCAATAGGTATCATATTATTACCTATTACTTTATACACCTACACAGAACAACAAAATATCCGCTTGATAAATCGCTATTATTTGTAGTTGAAAATTGTTCACACATTGTTTGGTACACATGCAGTACCTAACCTGACATTCTAATAGGTACTTATGCCTTGAACTGGTAATAATAATTTTAAAACTGGATACTTGAGTTCCTCGGCCATTTGATAGCAGATAATTAAAATAAAACTCATGTTCGTCCCACAAATAACCTACTTAGTACTTAGTGATGTGAGTCTCGTAAATTTACCATGTAAAATTTTACCGGTAAAGTAAATTTACAAAAGAAAATTACGATTTACATTTTTTACCGTTTAAACAGTTGAGTGACCACTTTATTTGTATGTTTTAGTATTTTTTATCAAATTAGGATTATAATACAAATCAAAATTTTAATAAATTGATAATAACCGATATGTGATACGAATTATTATTGTGATACCGTCGCATTTCAATAACCATTGCATCGATTGAAATTATTTTAGATTTACATTTTACCATAGTTAATAATTATCTGTTTTTATTTTTATTAAAGATATTAAATACTAATGCTTTATTTTATATTTATCTTACCTTCTTTATACATAATATTGTGAAAAAATTTAATAGGTAATAAATGTATTAATAAAAATTTACCAATTCTACCGTATATTTGGTAAAATTACTCAGTAAATTTGCAGAAAAAAAAGTTTTACGTAAAATCCATATTACTAATTATACGGTACTGTCGGTACTTAAGGCATTATAAATTGGTGAAATAGTAAAGTTCTGAGGCACCCGACTTTCACGTATCCACCATTTTTTCAAATGCAAACAATATATTAATAATAATTTAATAATAAATATAATTTAAGCGTATGAAGTAGGTATATAAAAAAATTATTATTAAATATTTTTAATTTTGTCAAAGAATTGTTTAATATATAATACGATCATTTTTTTTATGTGTCTATAACATTAATATTATATTTAATTTACAGAAAATATYATTTGAATCGAATAAATAATAATTTAGAAACGATATTACTTATTTCCATAATATTGTATTAAAATTAATATAGGTAGTTAAAAATGTATTTTTTAAATTGGTAATTAAGTAACTGGTAAAAATTTGTATGATAGTTCCCGCACATAGTTTAAACCAGTAATTATTTGTTATTTTGTAATTTACTATTTTTTTTATAATACTGCAACTAGTATAAATATGTCAATTAATTAGAAAATCATATTAGCTCTAATTCGAAATGTAAAGCAAATATTGTATTGCAGTTTTTTTAATATAATATATGACTAATATAGCCAAGCTTTTAATAAGGTCTCGTTAAAAAAATTTAAAAATCGCTTTCATTTTTTTTTTTAATTGAAGAAAATTATAAATTTGAAAATAGCAATTTTTCAAACAATTTTTAAGCCAGTTGAATTTTAGATGAATTCATTTAATAAATACAGCATAAAATTGTATGATATAAATCTTATGAAATTTAAAAGTAAGATTATGATCTAGAGCATCTGATAGGCTTTTTATTATATTTTAATTTTACAGCAAGTTATGAGTATCTTAAAACCAGCAACCAATTTACAATTTTAAAATACTCATAACTCATTTTAAAATTGAAATATAACAACCTTAGATAATAATCTTACTTTCACATTTTATAAGAGACAGGTCATTTCACTTTAATTTTAAAAATTATTATGATTCTATAATTATTGTTGTGGACGTAAAATTTGCTCTTTTGCGCGTGGGTCTAATAAAAAAAAAAAAAAATGCGCTATCGTCCTCTTAAAGTACAATATGCATCCAATTGATAAAAATAAGTTGATGTCTATAAATAATTTATATATTATATTTATTTTATTTTAATATTGTTTTAATCATAATAGACATTTTATTTATTCAAGTGTTTTTATTTTTGTTATTTTCCAATTTGTAAAATTATTATATTCATTTTTCCTTAAATATTGAATGTGATACATGCAAGTTATTTTTATTAAAATAATTTGAAGTTAATTTGTTTAATTTTATAAAAGTAATAGGTACCTATGAATAAATATTTTTGTGAATTGAATAATATTTGTGAGACATCCCCATCTTGCAACCGAGTAACGTATCACTGAACATAGTAGATACTTAATATCTATCAAATATTGGCAAAAAAAATGTCATTATATWTTGTTTGTTACATAAAACGACATAAAAGTGTATACTATTATTATTACTATTATAAATTGTGCATTTACGATTTACCGAAAAAGAATTATTTCACATTAAAAAATGCACCAATAAGAAAAATAAATCCCTGAACGCGTTTGTTTTATTATCATAAAAGTGCTTTTCTCGTAACAGTCGTAACGTATCTCTATTAACTATAAATAATATAACTATATAAGTAATACGGATATATGGATAACAAATAATTTAAAATTTACTTATGTAAACAAATTACCTAAAAAATAATTTTGAAAAAGTGTTGTGATTCAAATTAATTTAAAGCAAAAAAATCTTAATATTTAAAAAAAAAACTAGTCGATTTAAATAAACGTTTTTACCCTTGAAATATTTATTAACATAGAATTAATTTAAAAAGGTGAGCAAATGGATAACGCTCTGCTTTACACCTGCAGTTCATTAAGTGTCTAGATAAGTCTTCACTGTAGCAGATGCCAGATGTGTTAAATTTGAATATTTAAATTATTGAAAATTTTATGATCTTAAATCTTTGTATACGATAGACAATTTTGAGCAAAATTATCCTATATTATTCCTAAGTAGGTTTATTCAATATTCTATTATATAAATGTGGCTAAAATTACTTGTTTTACTATTAGGGCGATTAGGCACTAATATTACACTAGGTTAAATACATTTTTGATAAAAATTGCTGTTGAAAAAGTCATTGTCTTAATACAATATAGTAATATACCTACTCTATTTTTAAATTATCTGTAATTTTTTTCATACATTTTACCTTAAAATGTGTGTAAAAAGCTGTGTTTGTATATGTTTTTAGATTTGTTAGTAACACAATAAATTACGAACTATGTATAAAAATATTTGTTTTTAAATTTTCAATTTTTAGGTATGAAAACTGAACTTTAATAATTTTTTAACTACGAAATAATTTTTAAAATTTTCGAGATTTTGATACATTTTTCAAAAATTTAAATTGAAGTCCATGGATCTTTAATATCTTAACTGCCATTAAATTTTTTCATTAGGAACCTTGTATAAAATTAAAAATTAAAAATTCAATATCAAAACTTTCAGTAAAATCATTTCAAAATTCAATTTGTAGACACAAACAAATATTTAACCATTATAATAGTTGTTATAATAATATTATATACAGGGTGTCCCACTGAGATCTGACAAATGAAATAATTTTTGTTCTAATTACTATTTAAAAAAAATTTCTTTTAAATATAATTCATAGACAATTGCGCTACATTTTTTATTTTTTATTTTTAATACTGAAAATAAAAAACTTAAAAATTGATAAAAAAAATTTCCAAAATATCCAAAATAGCCAATTTGTAAATCTGATTTTCAGAAAAATGTAGGTATATGGTAAAAACATTTATTTAATTCAAGTGGCTGATTTTTTACAATTTTTTTAAATATCAATATTCTCGTTAAGTAACTTACAATCTAGTTTATGTTAGAAACATTATAATTTCAAAAAATATAAATCATTTTTAAATTATTTTATATGAACATTTTGAAATAGGTGCATGTTAAAATCTAACTATTTTTTTTATTGTATTTATTATAATAATAAGTTGTGCACTGGTGTATAAACTATATTAATACAATATGATATCCGAAATTATTGATTAAATAATTCATGTGCTAAATATGGTTATTTCAAATAATAAGAGACGCTTGCCTGCGGTATTGCGTTGCTTAATCGCGGTAGCTGTATTTATAGGTACGTCAGTATAAAATAGCCAATAGGTACTGTTTAAAAAAAAGTAAGTAGCTAACACTTGGCTGTACTATATAGGTGTCTAATGGATTTATTAAATTTTAATTCAATGTAATATAAAATTGCTGTGTATACGAAGATGGCCTGTTAGCTTAATAAAACCAAGTAGTAATACCTATTTTATATTATTGTGATTAAAGTAATATTTTATAATAATCACTAGAAATATTTTCATGAATTTTTAGCGTGTAACTTTTTTTTTTTTAATTTTCTATATTTATATTTTTTATTCATAATAATATTWAAAAAAAACTAATAAAAATTATATATGTTTGTTTACGCCTATAAATATCTCAAAAAGCATATTTTATAGTTTATAGAAAATGATAACATCGGTATTTAGTGAAAATTAAATGTATCTACAAATATTTTTTTTAGAGTATGTACTTACTATCTATAACACCACAAAAAAATCGATTTTTTCGAAAATTGTTTTTTTTTWAATTTAAATTCCTTAATTTGTTTTTGGCATTTCTCCATGATTTTGAAAATCATAAGACCTTAAAATACGGTGAATTTTACACTCATGATAGAAATTAACAATATTAATATACTAATATTTATATTGATTTCATCACAACAATAAATTTTGATAAAAGCCTAAAAATACCGTAATACCTACTGACTAGGTATAATAAGGTACCTAATATAAAATATATATAGGTACACAGTTAATAGTCAGTAAGTACTGGTATCATCATATGTTTTATTTAAAACAATTTAYTATATATGTTTAATATTTATAAAATATTTACATTACACTGAGTAGGTATTATAGAGTATTATTAAAATTGTATATCTGATCGAAATTTAATTTCATACGTAAAGATTATTATTATTATTATTGTATATTGTTTGTGTTAATTTGACTCCGAAAAAAAATGATATTGATGTTAAGTATAAAATTAATCAATACCTATATATAAAATATAATTAAGACACTTACGACTATGTATCAAAAAGTAAATTATAAAAAAAGTCGTTTAATACGTCAATCTGCTCTATATCAATCAATATAATATAATATAACTTCGTAAATAAATAAAATTATACTATTACAAATAAAGTAAAGATAATAATATTGTAAACAATAATATTACTAGAACGACGACTGTCACATGCAATCCTATTTTTATTTGATATAGTAGATACCTACTTAATAATAAAATAAATATTTTTTWAAGTTCACAATAATACCTATAAACATGTTGTTTTTTTCAATCGATGTCACTGAATATTTGAATAATTGAATCGGCCAAATGTTCCAAACGTATAAATATAATATTTTTAATTTTAGAAAACTGCGGTGTTCTTATGATAACGAACTACTAGTATCTAAAACGATTTTACCGATGCATTATTAAAGACTGCGGTCTCATCGGGTCTTGTTTAAAAAAAACAAAGAAAACCGCAAGTGGTGCGATATTTTTGCGTCACCATAATTATTATAAAATGTAAATGTGAGCATAATATATGTCCAGTTATTTTTCTCTGTAATTAGGTTGAAGATGAGATTATAATACCATCATCTGTATTCCGAGCCGTGTTCGAATAGGCAGAATGATAATACGGCATATGAAAAGCGTTTAATCTATATAATATAAGTAGTAGGTAAAAAAAAATTGCGTTCCAATGATTTTTTTTTCTTAACCTGCAATAGGCATATTATAGCTACCTCTTTCCGCAGTTCGTGTAAATCAATCGTCACATTCTTACATGAGTAAGTACTAACAGGCATATATAGCACACAAGACACAACACCGTTATAATGATAATATTGCGATTTGCAAGTAGGTACTTATTCTTAGTAGATCAGCGTTTTTATCGTAATACCATCACCGGTATACGCGGTTATTACAACAATACACATGCATTGTGTTATTGTATGAATCATACAGTATGATGCGTAATAATCGATACTATATGAAAAAATATAATAATAATAATATATTATATTCACTAACATAACGGATAACATTATAATGGAATATATATGATGGTGTTGCAATAATGTATACTTTATCCATTGCAAATAAGTAAGCAAAAAAATAAATTCCATTTTCACTCAATCAAAATTAACAAACTCATAATATTATGTGCATAATGACGACACGAGAGCAGTTTTTTTCAGGGCTTGAAACCGAAAACATTTTTTTTGGATTTCAATTTAGATTTCGGTTAGTGGTATTTACTTTTTCCGATTTCGATTATTGATTTGAAATATCGGTTTTAAAAAATGTGGTTTCAATTATTACTTCGCATACCGGTTTTGTATACTAATTAGTAATTGTGTTGATTTCAATTGAAATAATGTTTTTGATAAATTATGTTTTCCGTTTTGACTTTGCATACCGGTTTTATTTACATATTATATATTATGTATATTGTGTATGTATAGATAAAAATTAATAATTAATAAACAGCAAAATAAAGGATAAATTATATGATAGATTATTAAATTAACAATAAATCGTAGCAATAGAACCAAGAGGTGACTAAATAATTCAATAATAATAATTTAAACAAGTAAATCTAAGGTACCTAATATAAACATTTTCTGTCTAAACACATAACGCKATGTAGCAAAAAATCAACATGATCCGTTATAAAATCGCCAAAACAAGGTGGAAGTATAATTGTTTTTACCAAGGGAAACATGAAATAAATTGGATTATCTTAATCAATAATCCGTGAGTTTGTGTATTAAAATCAATCAGAGTAATAATTCCAATTTCTGGAGAATAAATAAGACCGTTTAATAATCACAAAAAAACATAGTATATAGTATATTTATAGATGGCTCTTATTATCGAATCCGTTATTACAAGTTATTCAATCCGTAATAACGAGTTGTGATAATTCATAGTATTGAGGGTAAAAAAAACATATTGTTGGCCCTTRAACGCTTCTGTAGATATTGTAACAATGTGTAAGAAGCCTTTTCAAGCATTTTGACCCAACATAAATAACATTTTATAGACCTTTTTAGAAAAAAAAATTAAAAATTGGAWACGGAAAATTTTTATTTTTTTACTTAAATAGTTAGATACTCAAGTTGAAAATCGAAGCATTATTTCAACTTTTGATTGTGTACACGGACATAAAAAAATAAAAAACACACATCATTGTAAAAACTGTATTTCACTTCTCC